TTGAGTTTGCTCATACAAATATGTTAGCAGGGGTTGCAGAGACATCAGTGGATGGGTCAAAATGGGGACATGTGAGAAAAGGTACCTGCTGTGTTTGCTGTGATAACCAAATTGATTCCCTGCTCTACAGGTAGGTTATATTTTACGACATTGGGGAAATTAAAATTAAAATTAAATATTCATACTCAGTGGCAGGCAGAACACTGACTAGCAATGGTATAATATGCAGGTGTGGGCATATGTGCACTTGTTCAAAATGTGCAAATGAATTGGTGAGAACGGCAGGGAAGTGTCCATTATGTCGGGCACCCATTATTGAGGTGATCCGAGCTTACTCTATACTCTAGACAGAGTGATGACTAAAACAACACAAAGAAGTATGTATTGGATGTATATGTATTGCAAGTTGAAGATTAGAATAGTAAGGAAACATGGAGTTGAGGGGGGTTGTCACTCGCTTTGCTCCTTAGTATCACAAGTGTAGAGCATTTACTTCGCCTGTATTGTTTGTTCTGATTATATGCAGAATGCTTTGCATTTGTAAAGTTGGAAAAACAAAACGGCTTCTTTTCTTCATATAATTCGTTTATAAATAAAAGATCATTTTTTGTTGTGCACTTTATGAAATTTATGCTGTTATATTTGTTTTCAGTTCCACATTGACAGAATGTACTTCTGCAGTTCGATTTTCAATACTCCAGATTCCAGAACTTTTTTTTTTGAACGTCTCCAGATTCCAGAACTTTGAAAGTTATGTTTTATTCTTTGATTTTTTAGTGTTTTCTCTGAAGAATAAGACTTCTGAAAAAGTTTTGACTTTTGCATTATGAAAAGGGAAAGTAAAATCCCACTCCATCCAACAATGGAATTTTACTTCCTACGTAATGTCTAGTTTCTTCACTCTTTTTTGTCTATTATTCTTATTATATTTAGATTAGATCAAACTAGACCAGAATAAACATTCAAAAGCACACTGCAAAGTGCAAACATCATAATAAATTAGAAAGGTGGACATCCTACAGATCGGAAGATGAAGATCAGTCACATTTTAGACAAAAAGTGATACAGCTCTTACATTTTTCATGTAAAGACCATGTTTTATCGAAAAAGGCAATACAATGAACCATTAATTATTGATTTATTGGGTAATTAGTGTATGTAGAATAATGCTAAAGCAAATAATCAAAGATAACCAAGGGAAAGTAAAATACAAAAAGGAAAAGCTAGAGTAGAATGGTTCATACGTGAACAATAATGGAAAATTTAACTACTAGTAGGAGAAGAAAAGGAATCGGCCGCTTGGGCCTGCATCTCATGTTTGATAGCAGCAGCCAAGTGATGATAGGATTCACCCCAAGCTTCTCTCATCTCCTCACTCCAATTCTCCCCCATTGCCTCTTCCGCTGTTCGCAGTAGAGCTTCCTTTACTACCTACATACCATCATCAACACCTCCTAGATGTGTTATTTGCATATAAATACGAGAAACTGTTAGAAACTGTACTGATAGTTTTTCAGAAAGCTATCGGTACAGTTTTAGACACGCTTCTGGAGTGCACTTGGAGAGTAACATTTTGTTTTTTAGGAACTTCAGTGTAACGTTCAAATGCAACCAAAGGCAAATGAAGGATTGAAGGTGGACTATTATTGTTTTATTTTAGTAACAAAGGAGTGTACATGCAAAGAAAGATTAGTTTTCGTATATTGGGAAGTAAAATAATAAATAATACCTCAAAGTGAGGGGCAGTGAGTCCCTTTTCAAGATGAACAGCTCCCAAATGCTTGAGGGTGGTGCCCCCAACCACAACTACACCTTTCTCCCGTAACTGAACCGCAGATTCACAAGTCTGTAAACCCACAATTAGAAATGGATAAATCAATAATATATGGCACACATGCAACTTTTTTATTAGGCCTGACATAATTTATTTGTATGAAGTATGGACTTCTAATATTGTGCTACACACAACTAGAGAGAAATGTGCAATTCACCATCAGTGTCCACTTGATCTTCCAAGTGCATTTGTCAAAATATTTGGTCGTATACTCTCTCATTCTCCGGCTCCGACCCGATTATAAAGGCGGGTGAAACCGTGAAATCCATGTGATAATCCATATTTGCCACTCTCCTCCTCTCCATCAAATTCAATCACAATTACCGTGAGTTCATTTGTTAAATTTTTTGTGTTGATGGATTGAATCGCGAGGCAATGTGATATGATAAAGTCCAATTTTAATAGCCTGTTAGGTAACACTGAATTGGCTGATCGACTGAATTGATGGAATTTTGATTGAATCAATTGAATTGGATAAATATGTTGAAATAAGATAAAATTATATTCTGTTAATACTCCGTAGAATAAAGAAAAATGGCTAAAATAGCATTCTAGAGCAACTTCAACGTTGCTTATTTTGGTTGTTAATTTACTTATTTTGGTTGTTAATAATTTGAGAAATTAAAGATTTTGTACGTGTTTGTTAGAAACATTTGTGAATAAGTAACAAATAAATCCTTAATATATTGGTGAATAAATCATTAATATATTTCACGAAAAGTGTTAAATGGAATAAATAAGTATTCACGATTTACAGCAACCATGTAAATCATTTTGTGAGAAAATATCTTTACAGGAAATCAATTGAGAAAGAAATGAAATGGGAAATGAATTTGGATGAACCGACCAACTTGAAGACTATGACGGCATGAGACTTGAGCTTGGGATTGTTCTGATGAAGAGCATCATCATCACTGTCCTTGAGGAACGAGAACATGTCTTTTGCCTCTGGAGCTATCTCCAGGATTCTGTATGGAATTGCTTATGTCAAATTAAACAAAAACAAGACCGTTCAAATTGGATATGATCGAGACTTGTAGTAACTTACAGGGTAAAGAAACGAAGGCTGAGTTGAGGTATGTTTTGCTTCATCACTTCCCATGAATCCTTCACAAGAGCCTCTTGCTTCTCTGAGATCACCATTTTATCGGCCGTGTTTCGACGGAGTATTTATTCTTCTTAGCTTCTCCTCTCGACGATTCTACTCTCTCTTCTCATCCATCCTAGTTGTCCAATCCGCCGTCAACCGACTTTGATTTTATTCCTTCTGTTTTCATTTTAGTTTTTGTTACAAGTGGGAAAGGTGGTTGGTTGAATCTAATGATCAATCAAATACTCCCTAATCCGTATTACTCCGTATTCTTCTGGGTTATGTCAAATCATTTATTTACATAAATTTATCTTATAGTCATTTAAAAAATGACTGAAACGGCATCTCAATAGGGGCATCCATTCTGCTGCTTCTTTTTTAAAATAGAAACAAAATCATAATCAGTTTTTCAGAAATTGGTCTCTCCCAACTTTGATTAATAATTTCGTACACTTTGAAGCACTTTTACACTTTTACCCACACTCATAATAACTTCTACTCCTTGAAGGAACATAAATAGTTTTAAAATGTAGATCAAAACACCTCTTAAGCAATTGACTTTTTCAAATGTTGTACAAAATCAGATTGGAACTAGACTAGAAACGGGGGTGGGTGGGGTGGGTGGGTGGGGGACCAAAACCGAACATTATCCAAAAACAGAAATGCTTGGTGTACACAATTGCACATCTTATGTGTTTACACAGATATAGTTGTTTGTATACAGATAATTCATATTTATTGGAATACAAAAGTTATTTCATGTAGACACACAAGGTGTATCAAAGGTATACACCAAGCATTTTTCATCCAAAAATTACAATCCCACCAACAGGTGACCACATTTGGGACCAAGATAAAGGTCCGAACCGGACCGGCTGCACCCACCCCAAAATGAAACACACAATTTGGAGTTTTGATGCCCAAACAACAAAAATGGGGCCAACAATTAGGGGTGGATCGGGCCCGGTCCGGTTCCGGTTCGGGCCAGGCCGGTTCCGGTTCATTTTTTTGTGTTTTCTTATTTATTTCAACCCCCCATCCCCCCATACCCCTCGGAAACACCCAGCCCAGTCCACCTAAACCCAGCCCAAACCCAAAAAAAAGAGGTCCGAACCGGGCCCGGACTGATTGGGCCGATTCGCCTTTTTCAGGGCTCGGAACCGGAACCGGTTACCCCCTCGGGCCGGGCCTAGGCCCGGAACCGATTTCCCGGGCCGGGTACAAACAGTACCAGTCCGGTTGGCCCGGAACCAGTCCACCCCTACCAGCAATGAGTGCATTTGTATCTCTGGGCGTGGTGTTTCCATAGACAGTACTCTTTTTGCAGGAACTTGTTGGCTATTGTGGAAAAATCGGAATAATCTCGTGTTTCAGGGAGAGCTTCAGACCTACGCACACATCCAATATCAAACTAAACAGCTTAGGCAACAGATTCTTGATACTTTGGAGAAGCAAAATCTCGTATTTGGAGGTGGGAGGCGCAAAGAACAACATTTTATCAAATGGAGAGCACCACCAACGGGTTGGACGTGTATCAACACTGATGGCTCAGTCATTCACTCTCCTTCTAGTACAACGGCAGGCGGTATCATAAGGGGAGACGATGGATGCTTCATCAAAGCATTTGCAGTGAATCTGGGAGGAGGCTCAATTACTAGTGCAGAGTTGGTTGGAATTATGCATGGTCTCAAGGTCGCTTGGGAACAAGGGGTTAGGAAGATTATTCTGCAAACAGATTCTTCTGTAGCCAAGCAACTAGTAGAGAATGTCACGACGCACCACCCCCACTTCTCATATGTTGCTGAAATTAGAAGACTCTTAAATCTTTCTTGGGAAGTCCGCATGGAACACGTTTATAGAGAGGCGAATTTTGCTGCAGATTATTTAGCTTCGTTGGGCCACTCACTATCTGTGGGTTTGCATGTTTTCGACTTTCCTGTTGAATCCCTTGGCTATTGGTTGTACTTCGACTTAATTGGGGTTGAAACACCTCGCATTATTAATGGATAAAGGTTGGGGTGCCCTTAGCGCTCCGTTTTCTTAGACCAAAAAAAAAAAGCAATGAGTGCATTTGTAGGCACTCATAATTCATTTCTGGGCTCATTTTGCTGCATAAACCTCTTATCTATTTCAAATGGTTTGATCATGTACATACAGCTATACGAGGAAATGACAAAATGTGGCACATTCAACTGTTCAAGTGAGGTCAGTTTGAAACCGAATCTGAAAACACACACTACACAACCACAATGACAAGTGGGCATATTTACAAAGGTTTATTATATCTAATGTATGTGTGTATGTGACTGTGTATCCATACATATTAGTTCTCCACCTTGCTACTTATTCTTCAGCAGCGAGTTCATCAAGAAACTGTCTAATAATAACACGTTCCCTTTTAGTAAGGTCAGGATCATCAGCTAACAGCCTTTCCCGAATTTCTGCACTTGTGCTGTCTCTGTTATTGTCCAAAACCTGCAAAATAAAGGCGGGTCAGCAATTGGGACATGCTAATGAAGGGACAACCATTATTTCCTTATAATAAAATCCCTACAAATAAGAAAGAGTAAACATGAATGAAGTGCATAAATAAGAATATTTTTGTTTTATCCCTACAAATTAGAATATTTAGTCTTGATTAGGATTTTTTTTGGAACCAATGGTGGTCCTAAACGGGAAAATGTGTTATGTTTTAGGCCTAATCAGGCAATTTGTTCTTTATTTATTAAACATATGTCTGAAGAAGTAATATATGCGGGCTAGTAGAGCACATGAAAACATCTTGTGATAAGCATGCATATCATTGATATGTAAAAGGGGGATAAATGAGACTTCACTTTCACGTAGTTGTTGACATTGCCATCTTTGTTTGGAGAAGTGATTGGCTCAGAGTTATTGCACACCCATTCACCATCAACAATATATTTGTACTCGTAAATTCCTTCCTGTATTTTTTTTAATTGAAGAAAAAGAAATAACCGTTCTTTAAAACAAATATGCAACAATTAACGCTCCACATACTACCATGGTATTATCACTTAAATGATCAATACAGTCGATGACTCAATTCTATTTTAAAAAAGATACTTCATACTCACCGGAAATTCCCTATGGAGAGTCCATGAACCTTGTTCTGCATCATATTCAAGAGGTACTCTCTGGAAAGAATTTCAAAAAGAAGATTTTTTTAGTAGGGAATCATAACTCCACCAGCAGACTTCGATCATTCATCATTTTCATCATTTTCATTTACCCCAATGCCGCAAAGGCTCCCACCTACGGTGGGGTAAGGGGGGGTCGGATGTACGCAGTCTTACCCCTGTACTAAAGCATAGAGAGACTGTTTCCGGATGACCCATAGTAAAAATCGCGTCCAAAATTGCAGACTTCGATAATTGATCATATTACCTGTCCCCAACCAATATCAAGTCCAGAGACTTCCACATTAGAACAATCATCACCACACCACATCAATGTTATTGGATTCTTCCTCAACCCTGTAAGCTTTAGCCAAGGAAGATAGCTGTTTTCAACAAATGGTCAAACAAAAAGTAATAAAACTCTTGGCAATTTGATCTTGACAATACGGCCTAAAAACGATCTCTTTGGGGCTTCTTTATTTGAGCGATTTTGGAGGGGAGGGGTGATTGATTTTTTTTAATAATTTCTCTCCATTTCTTAATCTTATGACCTGTTCACTTCACCTGAAAAAATCTGACCTAATCTGAATTTCTTAAGATCTAGTTTGCTCAGAACCATTCTAATATCTTAGACTAAGAATAGGCAAAGAGAACAATATCTTAGACTAAAGTTACTACCCTTTTGTCCCCTTTTCATTTTCCTCTTTTTGGTATGCATGTTGGCATACATGCCTGAACATTCATGTGAAAGATTGATCTCTTTTTATCTTTGTTAACTATGATTTCATATGTCAGTTCATGTTAGCCGACCACAAACTCTTTGGGGCTAAGGCTTGGATGTTGTTGTGGGGGTATGCAAGAGCATTATCTTCTTATATCCTTTCTAGTCTGTCCTACATTATGCAAAGAGGGAAATAATAATGGAGGGATCAAATGATAGCAAATGGAACTCACAATATCAGCAGTGGCACTTTTTATGGCGTCCAATTTCGGACAGCATGAACGCTTGCTCTGAGAAAAGACACACATATGTTCAGATATTCAAATACATACAAACATAACATATTCTTTCTCAAAATCAGAGGTAAATTGCACCGAAAGAGAAATGTGACTTCCAATTTATTCAATACTTTTGGTTCTGTGGTAGCATGGTTGATTTAAGAAATACATAAACCTAAGAACTTGAAATCCTCTATTGTCAACAAAAAATCTCACCCTTTAAACTTAGATACTATCTTTCATGAGATTTTTTTTCCGCCAAACTATGATACACTTCAAAAGATGATTGAAGCAGAAAAACAAACCACTATTATACACTCACTTTGAGTAAATTGTAAGCTTCATTGAATCCATAACCAAGAACCCAGAACATGTATGCCACCTGAATTTCATATTATCAGAGAGAGAGAAAAAGTTTCTTCTGACTATATTGCAGACAGAACAAATTAAAAGTTTACATATGAGTCCGTTACATATCTTTCACATTTATGAGAGCATTATTTCTTATCATTTAGACATACTTAGTCATTGTTTAAATTCCAGCTCTTGTAATGAAATTCTGTGTGCAGAACTATATTCAAACACTTCCTTTATCTCATTCTATCGTACTAACTACTAACTTTTAAAAATGACTATTGATGAGAAGGATAAAGTACTTTCTAGAACAAAACTAACTATTTCATTTATTTTTATAATTAGTAATTTATTACTCCTTCAATCCCCAAAAAGGAGTTATGCTTGGTAATACTAATCAGGATTAAGTTTAAGACTCTTTTTCAGACGGGCTCACACTTTTTTTTAGTTTTTTAAGAGATTGTTTGGACCGCGGAAAGTAGCAGGGAATTGAGGGGGGAGCTGAGGAAAGTATTTTAGATATATTGAGATTTCTGAGTCTCTTTAAATAGTATAATAGTTATGGAAATTTATGTCTATTATATAAGGACAGAAATCCAAATATTTGTAAACAACAGTATGAAATATTTGGAAACTTCCTTCTCCAACAAAACAAAAAGGGGCCTTATAAAATAACTTCTCTTAGCGCGCGCGCCCTCCCTAGCAATTTCTATGATCCAAATATAACCTAAAGACAATATGAAAAAAACAACGAAAATAGTTCATGGGAGATTTGCATTGCTAGTAAGACAGAAACAGATACCGCTACTGCAGGTGCTCTTCCAAGTCCAGCAGTGCAGTGTATGTAGGTTATGCCACCATTTCTATTGATGGCCTTATGTAATTTGCTAACAACAGCAGGTAGCCTTATCCTCAAATCAAATGCATCAAAATCCCTGTTTAATCAAGAACCAGCCAAAATAATTGTGACCAATTACATCTGATTGGAGGAAATAATACTGCAATGATACTGCAAATAATACTGCCAAAATCCCTGTTTAATCAATAAAGTATCCAGCCAATAATACTGCAGGAGACTTTTCAAGCCCTGTGCACCTTAACAAATAGCGGGAGATCATGCCAATTTCTTCCTTACGCAGACACAAGTCGATAACTTGACTAGGTAATAGAAAATTAATAAACTAGTACAATAATTTAAAGAGCAATAACTATACATGATAATTTATAGTAGTTCCCCAATTTAAGCTATACGTCACAACTTGTTCCATTTTTAAAACAAAAAAAACTTTCCAGAAAAGTGTTACTCAGCAAATGGAAATTTGGAAACGGCTCTGAAAACTTTAATAAATTCCTGAAACTTCTCCCCAACATTTCAGAATTGCAAAACTTTCCAGGAAACATTGGGTATAATTCTGGGAGTTTTGGTTTCTGAGATGGGGACGCTGCACCTAAGAGTTACCATGCCTAAATTACGACCGAGTATAAAAGTACACAACAGTTAATATGTATGATCATAATATCATATGAATCTTACACTGCAATCATTTAAAAATGAAGCAGCTGCTTTTTTAGCACACATTTTGTACGATGAGGTGGGGGGAAGTTAAATATCAGCACACTTTTACTACAAACCTGATTTCAGCACGCACATGCTCAATGTCTCCACTTTTGATTGCACATTCACGAATTTCATTAATATCAACCCCAAAGTATCTAAAGAAGGTGAATTAAGGATTTGGAAAAAATGCAGGGAAATGAACTAATAAAGGGGTTGTTTGGAAAGTGTTAGAAGATCAGGACATGTTTAATGTTTCTGGATACTCAAGATCAGAATTCTGTTGTAAGCAAAAAATAGTCTTCACTCCAATCTTGCGAAGCCTGTTCACATCCTTAGCACTCTATCATTCAAGGGATCATTAAACTACATCAGTTTTTTAGACATAATGTCAGATCAAACATTTTAATGAAAAGTGCATCACCTGTAAACATGACCCAACAATCAAATCTTGACGGATGAAGTCATAGTTCAATCCTAACTCATGCTTATAGGTCAAGACTGTAAACAAAAATTAGAATGAGAATGATCAATAACTACTCAAGGTATGATGCTAAGTAGATGTGGAATTTGCCTTATAATAATTCATGTCATGAATATATACTGATGTCATTTTAACGCACTTAAAGATTTTTTTTTATTAAAGAAGAGTTTATCTCCTCCCAACAAATGGTCATTTAAAGTCCAGTTATTATGCACCTAATAAATTTTTTAAATGGTAAAAAAGATGTATACAAATCATTCTTGTTTTTACTTAGTTGGCAATTTAACATGACTGACTAACCAGCTCCCATTGCTTCTGTCATGTCTTGACTATAAACATCAGATTTTCCCTCCGTTTTGATACTTTCTTTTCCTATATCAGACTTAGAACCATGTATGGCCTGAAAAGTGTCAAAGAAGGAAATTTTAGATCATGAATTGTGAAAACGGTTAGATATAAGTATATAACAGATTCAGGGATCATACATATATGATATATAAAACAGAGCAGGGTGACTAGAGTGGTATACTTTGATATTTTTAAAAATTGTCATTTCTTAAAAAGAATGATATGAACCTTTAATCTATTGATTCTAGTTCTACCTGCACGACATTCCTTGAGTTATGATCAGTCGTTCTCACCAAACCCTGGATTGCAATATTTATGCATTGCCAAAAAAAATTAAATGTGGAAAGAAGAAAAGAAAGGAAATTTAATTCGTATCCAAAATTGAAGTGAAACTGTGAAGCGCTTTTACCAGTGTGGTGGGAACCGTTGATGGCAAAGAAGGCTTTCTGGAAACACCACTGAAGCTTTGCAGTCGCGAGGCAGAAAATCTGAGAAAATTCAGTGCATAATAAAATGCAAGAGCTGATCAATCACCAAACGAAGAAGTGTATGAAAAGAATTGAGCAAGGCGGAAGTGGGAAATGAGTTTGGAAGAAAACCTAGGAAGATTATAGTGAAGGGAATTCATTCTGGAAGATGTTGGAAACCAGATTCTGCAAACCTTTTTGCTGCGTGAGAGTATTATTGCTGCTAGATTGAAATGGAAAGGGGATCCCCTTTTATTGAGATGGATGATGAGTATGACAAAAGAATACAGTCACTGCTTGACAACTGCATTAAATCATTGAATTCCTCCGCCATAAAAGTTCGAAAAATTGAGTGTACTTCATTCAGAGTTGTACACAAAGTAACCGATACTCTTTATTCCGTACCTAGTTAGTTGAATAGAGTGTATAATACCGTACAAAAATTGGGACAGAAAATACGAGGTGTTATTTTGAACATTTAAATTATATACTTCACAAAAGAAGAGATATAGCGAAAAGAAATAAAATTCATACGGAGTACATATATTCAACTAACAAATATCATTACTACATAAAAGAGTAATTCATAATTGCGCAGATCTATGACAAAAATAAAAATAATAATTAAGTCCAAGACATAAATTTGCAAAATAATAATAATAGAATGATACTCCCTCCGTATCACATATATCTTCCCACTTCCAAAGTGGGTGAGATTAAGAATAGTGAAATGAGATATGAATTATTGAGGGTATGATGGGAAGATAATGAAATAATGTGATAGAATGAAGGATAAATTCAAAAAAAGTAGGTGTAATAGTGTATTATTTTTTAAATTATTGAGGGTATGATGGGAAGATTTAGAAATGAGAAGATATAAATGTTACGTCCAAAAAGGAAAGTGGGAAGATATGAATGTTACGGAGAAAGTACTAAGTTAAAATCATTATCTTTATATTTTTTTGGGCAAAAATCATTATCTTTATATGATCATCAAATAACACTCAAGTTAAACTGATCATTTCCATCAAGATGGCGGATGACATATGCGAAAAGTTGTGTGAGTGATACGCTTATGATTGTTTATGTGTAAAATTAATTAATAGTAAAAAGATGTCAGGTTTGAAAAAATTGATATGCTTGTTTGAAAAAAATCATAAATCCAGTAGTATTTCACGCTTTAGTCTTTAAGAATGCTAGCTTCAGCCACCACAAATTAATTTTAGTATTTAATAATTACATTGTAACCATACAAAAACACGAGTCATGGGGAGGAGGTTTTCCTTTTTCCTTCTAAACTATTATTATTGATCTTCTATGCATTTAATGCATTCATCAATTGATCAATTCATGTTTCTATTTTTTGTAATAAAAAACGGGAAAATATGTTTTATACGGGAAGCAAGAGTTTTTTTCCTAAACGAACCGACATTATTTTACGTTTTAAACGTATTTTTTGTTCCAAACATAGGTGCGTGTTTAAAACACGTTAAAACACAAAAAAACTAGAGGTTTTTATAAGAATATTACTAAAATAAAACTTATTTACATAAATATGACTATTCATTACTACAACGTAATGTTGTGGTAACTTAAGTTCAAAACTTTAACATGAATTACTATGGTTTCGTTACTACTCTAGTAACTAGTCATATTTTTGTAAATCATCTTTATTTTAGTCATATTTATGTAATAAAAAACTAATGTTCAAATTGAATAATTTTGCACTCCATCAATGCTATAAAACATTTTGAATGAATACGTAGTACAAAACAATTTTACGGATCTACACGTTGACTATGTATTTGTCTGTACACAGAAAATTGATTTTCGTTTTAATAAAAAGGAAATGTATGTGACCCCAAAAATGAATTGTTTATACACAAGCAACTATTTGTGTAGAGAAAATCCATTTTTTGGGATCACACAAACTTCCTTTTATTAAATGAAAATCAATTGTCTATGCGCGCAGACAATTCACTTGGCATATAAATTGGCGTGTAAACTAGCATGTACAAGTAGCATTTTTGTTTCATTTATTTGACCTTCGCAATCTCTTTTGTAATTTTTAATTTAAAGTACTTAAAGTCTCTCGTTCCACTGAATTTTGTCAACATTCCTTTTTTTATTGTTTTAAAAACTTCATCACTAAAACAATGAATTTGTGATTCTATTAATTTCTCTTTCTTAAGTACAAACCTCAATCACACAATTTTTACTTTTTTTTTGTTTCACACTCAACATAAAGTTGTCAAAGTCCAACGGGATAGCGGTAAAATAATACTTCATGTTTAAAGTTATTCATCTTTTCTCTTCATAAATCTTACCACATATGGATGTCAATTTCCTTAAAATTTTCACTATTCTGCCTAAAGGACAATTGCCTGAACAAGAGTAAATAAAAGTGAAATTGCAATAATAGGAACACAAAATTTAAATATCAAATAAAAGGTGTGTTTGCCATTGCTTAAATTAAGTGCTTTTTGGCTTTTAGATTAAAAAAAGCTAAAAGAGGTGTTTGGTAATCCTAGCTTTTGATTAAAAAAAGTGCTTTAAAGTTAAAAGTTGGAAGCTGGAATATACCAGCTTCTAATAGCTTCTAGGTAAATTTGTAATTATCTCCAACTTCATGGCTGGTAATAATGGCAACAAAATCACAATACCCCCAAAATACCCTCAAATAAAGTGATGCCCAGAGCCCTCTCGCACAGATGAAGTTTGCCGTAGGGAACTCCCGACCTGGAGTCGCCGGCTTGCAAGGGTGCCGGATTTCTCAATGCCGGCAAAGATACTCCACATCACCGACTTGGAAGCGTCGGTGCCGACCTAGTGGAGTCCAATCTAGACTCAGAGGAGATGCCGACCTGAGAGCTACGACGTGAAGATGACTCTCATCTTCATCTGCCCCATCCCACCTCCAAACCTTGGTCTGTGAATTCGGATTCATCATCAATTATCATCCCATCCCTGGTGGCTGTAAATTGTTAGGGTGGCATGGATTTTAATGGTGCTCCAACAGTGCCAGTCTTAAGCTCTCAATTCCTCCGACTGTAGTGAGGAAAAAGACGAAGATTATGTGGAGATGCTAGCTAGGGATATTTTTGTACTTTTCAGAAAATATTACATCACAATCACTTTTTTATCAAACACTCCAACTTTTACATTTTAACTAAAATCAATTCTACTCCCAAACACTACCTACTTTTACTATAAATCACTTTTCCAACAATCTCTTAAAAAATCACTTTTAAAAAGCACAAGCAATCGCAAACACTCCCAAAGACTAACTCCTCCTATTTTATGCTATCCCTTGTCATACTTAATAGGATTTTTTAAATAATAATAGTAATAGTAATAGTAATAGTAATAGTAATAGTAATAGTAATAGTAATAGTAATAGTAATAGTAATAGTAATAGTAATAGTAATAGTAATAGTAATAGTAATAGTAATAGTAATAGTAATAGTAATAGTAATAGTAATAGTAATAGTAATAGTAATAGTAATAGTAATAGTAATAGTAATAGTAATAGTAATAGTAATAGTAATAGTAATAATAATATACACTGTAAGAAAATACAAATAAAAAATAAATATTTAAAAATAAATAAATAACTCACATGCCTCAACCACCACCTTACTCACCTTCAAGCACCGCCACATCCGCCGAAAAAATGCCAACTTACAAAAAAGGTCATGGTGATGGAAATTTGAAACTAAAGTCAGATATTTTAGTTATTTTATAATTGTTATTTATTACTTTTATTTTATTTTTTCCCAATTTTTATTATTAATTTATAAATATATTTATTATTTAAGAAATCATACTCCCTATTATGACAAAGGAAATGGTAAGATAGGAAGAGTAAAGGGTTGGGAAGCCAAAATGTTAAAAATGGACTCCGTCAATTTGAGAACAGTGTTTAGACTTCTATTTTCTTGCATCATAGCCCTGACAATAAAATACACTAAGCATATTGTTTTTACATATCAATTTAGTAAAACATTAATTAATTTATTATATGTAATGTTTCTTTTTAATTTTCCCCTTGAATAATTATGAAATAAAAAATACACATTTCGGTGTAAAAATAAATAAATTACATTAAATTTTTTTGACGTTTTCCGGTTAACAAAAAATTAACTTAGTTCAAGAAAAATTCGATAATGGAATATTCAACTATTTGTGAAAGTTTCATGAATTAAAAATTTGTGTTTGGTACGGAGTATTTTTTTGGGCTCAAGAAAACTTTAGTTTTTTTTTTCATTTTATGTATTACATATTGGTGTCATATTAAAGATCATACATGTTCATGATTTGTTATGTATTTTTTGAAAAAATTGAAAAACAAATAAAAAAGTAAGAGTTTAAAACAAATTGGGATTATAATGACATATTCGTGATGTTATCATGATGTCAGCCGAACACGTGTGCAACGCGCAGGAGCCGACCTTCCTTTGCTTTTCTTTATCTTTTACGCCTCATTCCTTTTCCTACTTTTAATTGTCATTTTAATCTTCCACTATTCCAAATTAAGGGCCTGTTTGGTATGATGTAAAGTAAACATTTTGCGTGTAAAGTGAGGGGATGTGAACATTCTACACCGTTTGTTTTGAATATTTGGTGTAAACTGTAGGGTACTTTTTTAAAAACATTTTACACTGTACCGTGTAAAATATTTTACGTGGGAGGAGGGTAGTAAACTACTTTACACTCGTTAATACCGAGAAAATTTCTTTTACAATTCAAGAAGTTTTTACGATTGTAATTAGCTGATGGCAGCAAAAGAAAATTTTGGCTGCTAAAAGCAGCTTTCCCCTCCTATTTAAGAACACAAAATCGTGAAGCAAATCACCACTACCTATCTTGCTGATCTGTGTTGCCCTACTCGATCTGCTCCTTCGAATAATTGAAGAGCTAAGCCAGCTTCTGGTTTTCTTTTTTTTTTTTAAATTTATCACCATGATTCCATGTTGGATCTGATCTCTACCTTGTTTTTCAATTTTTTTTAAACTACGTAATTCACTGCATGCTGCTTGAGAATATCAGTAGAAAGGTTTGTAGAACTTGCTATCTTAATACATTTGTGTGATTGAGAATGTAAGCATAAAAGCAGATTGTAAGCAACTAGCATCAACTAGCAGCAATCGGCTATGTATATGATCCGTTTGTTAATGCGGATTATTTTATTATTTTCCAAACAAACATTTTAAAGAGTTTGCGTGTAATTTAATAATAGATTACATAGATAGCCAAACAGTGTATTTTTAATTTACACGTAAACTGATTAGAGTCCTACACTTTACATGCAAAGTGATTGCATGTAAAGTTTTAATGAGTAAACAACCAAACGAGCCCT